TAAGTAAAAGAACCCAGACTCAAAAGCCCATATGCTACATGACTGCATCTGTATGACATTCTGTAAAAGGCAAAACTACAGAGACAGAAAACCAATTAATGGTTTAAGGGGCTGGAGTAAGAAGAGGTCGACTTCAAAAGGGGGCATTTGGGGAGATGATGGAACTGACCTAGATATTGATCACAGTGGTAGGCACACAAAATATGTGTTCTTTTTTTTTAATTTTTTTTATTCATTTATGATAGTCACAGAGAAAGAGAGAGAGAGAGGCAGAGACACAGGCAGAGGGAGAAGCAGGCTCCATGCACCGGGAGCCCGATGTGGGATTCGATCCCGGGTCTCCAGGATCGCGCCCTGGGCCAAAGGCAGGCGCCAAACCGCTGCGCCACCCAGGGATCCCTGTTCTTTTTTTTAAACTCAGGAACTATACAATAAAAGAGTGAACTTTACAGTATGTAAATTATGCCTCAATAAACTTGGCCAAAACAATTTTAATATAAAATATCTTATAAAAAGAAAAAAACAAATGGCTAAGTGTGATTATACACTCTCTTTTTAAAGATTTCATCTATTTATTCATGAGAGACAGAGAGAGAGGAGGCAGGGAGAAGCAGGCTCCCCATGGAGCAGGGAGCCCGATGCAGGGCTTGATCCTGGGACTCTAGGAGCACAGCCTGAGCCAAGGGCAGCACCTTAACCAACTCAGTCATCAAGGTGCTCCTGAGATTATACACTCTTGGCCCCTATATTTGTTCAGGTAGATGTTTTTTAATTGAGAATGGTTAAAATGATAGCTAACTGAGATCAGGAATGAACAATATTCACCCAGCAGGGCAAGCTGATGATTGTTCTGAAAGACCACAGAGGGTTGTGGAAGCATAATTCCAAGTTGTTTATTTCTAGACCTTACTGATCATGTAGGTTGGGATACCAAAGGGATAGCTAGAGTAAAAGCCAAGCATGGTGCCTCAGGGTACATAGCCTTCAGTGGTCCTCCTCTAGAGCAAAGGCCAAAAGCCTGAATGATCTATGGGCAAAAATATGATGCTTCCAAATAAAGAGTATCTCATAGAGTCCTCCTAAGAAGTTTCCAGAATGAGAGTTATCATCCCTGTTGTGTAAGTGAATAAGTGGAGGCTAGAGCATATGAACTAGCCAGATCACAACAAGACAGTGGACTGTGGGACTGGGCTCTAGGGCTTCTGATTGCCTGCTTTGTTGGTTGGTTGGTTGTTGTTGGTGGTGTTGGTTGTTGTTGGTGGTGATTTAATGGTAGTTAAGCTCTTCATCATGAAGTGAGCCCTTCATCAAAGTAAGAAGACAGACTGGTTAGGCACAGAGAGAAGCTTTTCCTTTCACTGGAAAGATAAAAATTAGGGTGAATTTCTGAAAAAGAGACATAAGAAAATATCAAGACTTTGTCTAGAAGCATCAGACTACAGCTGCATGAAACCAACACCTGATTTATAATTGCATAATTCAGGGCAGTGCTCAAGTGTTTTGACCTACGCAATTGAAAAACCTGGATATCTGGAGATGAGCTGCCTGCTATTTTCCACATAGCCCAGGTTTGGCTTACGTACCTTCTAAGGGACCCAGTGGAGGTACATGGTAGTTGGGTATTGAGAGGAATATTTTGGTGTTTCATAGGGTTTTCTTGTGATATCTGAATTCACTAGACTCCACATAAAAGGATAGGAAATAAATCACACCTTTTACACATCTTCCTGGTAACCTAGATCCTGCCGCTACATTGCACCAGAAACATATATCATGGAATGTTTTTCGTTGGCATAGGAACAGCCTTGGAAATTTTCAAACCAAAGGGGTCAGAATATTAGGAAGTTCGTAGCAGGGAAAATTCTTGCAGTGGCAGCTGATAAGCGAAATATCCTGACGAGAGTCTCTCCTCTCTGGCACACTGCCTAACTGAAAAACAGTCCTGTGTGACTGGAGCAGTCACACGAAGCAGGTGGCGCCCTCACACCGTGGCCCTGCTTCAAGGCGTGCCAAGATTCTGCCTGTTGAACACAGGGTTAGTGAGAAAGGAAAGTAGGGACAGGATGTGACGATTGCTGTGTGTGCGCCCTTCTAGATCACACTGAACCCCCCCTCCAGCAGGGTGCGTGACAGAAAGAAGAACAAGGCCAGAGGAGGTTTCAATCAACCCTGTTGCTACCCCACACTCTGCAGATTGGGTTTAGCCCCACTCTTTTTTACCACGTCTCAATTTTGCTCACCACCTCTGGCAGCAAGCCCACCCCTTCCAAATGGCATGGAACATTGCAAAGGCCTCTCTTCCTTTGTTCCTCTTCTTTTTTCCTTGCTTTATCCAATTGGGGGAAGAGCCCAAAGGGGGTGAGAGAGAGAAGTGGGACAGAGAGGGACACTCCCAAAGCAGCACGACAGAGGAAAAGCTGAAACCCTCAAGAGGGAGTGCCTTAGAGGATTCCAAACATACTTATAATGATTCATGATGATACATCCCCATGCAACTCACAACCAACCTGGAATAGTCCTCATGCGTCTTACTTGCAGCAAATTAGTTGGTGGAAATCTGGATTTTCACAGAAGGCAGACTATGAATCAATATTCCATTAGTAAAGACTAGACTTGAAAAATATTCATTAAAACCTTCTTTATGGGCACCTGGGTAGTTCAATGGTTAAGCATCTGCCTTTGGCTCAGGGCATGATTCTGGGGTCCTGGGATCAAGTCCTGCATTGGGTTTCCCATAGGGAGCCTGTTTCTCCCTCTGCCTGTGTCTCTGCATCTCTCTCTGTGTGTCTCTTATGAATAAATAAATAAAATTTTTTTAAAAAATTAAAAAAAATAAAACCTCCTTTAAATGGTGAGCTTTTTTTTAGTAATACATTTTATTTATTTTTTATTTACTTATACTCTTTCCAAATTTTAGTTTTCATTCCAGTTGGTTGACATACAGTGTTTTATTTAATTTTATTATTTATTTGTTTTTCTCTCCTGACAATACAAGTGTTTTTATTTTTTAATTTATTTTTTAAGTTCTCTTTAGCTAGTTAACATACACTGTGTAATGCACTTTAAATACAACTAGATTTCTAAAAAAGGATTTTTTTTTTCACATGGCTCTTTGGGACCACAGCTATTGGGGTAAAATGAGTCACATCTGCAATAAAGTCAGAGTTTTCAGAGAACATTCTCAGTTTTTTTCACCGCTTACCTGAATACTCTGGTGAGACTAATGCTGAAGCAGGAATGTGAGCATGAGGCTGAGCTGAGCAAAGACCTCTGTCCCAGGCCACCAGGGGACCATTTTGATCATTATTCCCAGCAAGGTTTAGAGGATGATAATAGATGCTTCTCTGAGCCAGAGCCAGTCTGTCTGTCCCCCAGCGGAGCAGAAGGCAGCTTTCCAACTTACACAGAAAAGGGGGAAGGAGAAATATCGTGGCAAGAGGGATGAGCTTCCTGATTGTTTTACTTTCCATGGCTCTGGTTTTTATGGGATCGGTGGGAACGAAGCAAGTGCACGAACTATGAGTGAAATAAAGCAAACCAATTGCCTTTTAAACCTAATTGCTTTTAATCCCATCTCTCGGTCAATTTAACCTTTGGGATGTCTGTGCCCAGACTGTATGTTACAAGGGCAGAGCATAAAACATCTCTTGACTTAACCCCAATCCTATTTACAGTATTAAAATAAATACCGTAAATTCTGTAGAAACGATCAGCAGGAGATGTGTTTAGAACCCCTGAAAGGGTTTCACATGTAATAGCCAGTCATTCAGTTAGCAAATATTTATTGAGCATATAATGGATGCCAAGCACTGCATGAGGCAGCAAGGCACCCACTATGAATAGATCCTGCCTCCTGGCCTCAGAGTCTTGCAGTCAAGTTGAAAGGCAAATACATACCAAACAACCCCAAAGCTAGATATGGACTAAAGCCGGGGCACAGAATAATTGCAACAGGGGGAAGGAATGATCAAAGTGGCCCCAGAGGTGGGAAGAGGCTCTGGGTAGGGAAGGATACTCCTGGAAAAGGCTGCTTCAGCTCAGCCTTGCTCAGCAGAAAGTGACAGAACCAGGAGACCTCTATTCAGGGCAGTTTTGCTCCTGGGGAATTCTCAAACAGCATTGCATTTTCCATCAAGAGGGCTGCCAATTTTTTTTTCCATGAAAATAGATACACATGTCCATACATACACTTGATTGAGAGCAATGATTTTTTTTTTGTTCTATCTGCCCAGATCACCACTGCATTTAGATCTAAATTCCAAAGCTGAATAGAGGGCAAATGTACTTGAGTTCTGTGATTTCAAGCACTCCAGAGAAAGATTTAGGGGAGTAAGTGAATAACAATTAACAGTGTTTTCCCCATCTGATTGGCAGATCATATGGTGTTTGCTTTTTAGAATTAATTTGGCTTTCTAGTAAGGTTATCTTGCACACTTTCCAGGGTCCCCTGATATAAATAGACCAAGCAGTAAGGAGGAAATGAAAACAAGCGTGCCTGTGTCTGGAACGTGGTGACAACTGTGGGGAATGGAGGGAGACACAGAAATATACAAGAAAACAACAACAGAAGGCTGTAGGGGACAGCTGGTCACTGCGTCATCCTCACCCAATCAACAAGTTGGTCATGAACAGCTAAGCTAGAAATTCAGGTCGAGGTCAAGAAGAAGTTCTAGGTGGCAGTGAAATGAGGGAGGTGTTTGCCTCTTCTAACTTATTTTTAAAAATCGGTTCAAGTTTAGCAAATTTCTTTCAGAAGGAAATTAAAGAGAAAACCTCCTCACTATTCATCAATAATGAAAATGGGCCCTGTTCCAAAGTTGCTTAGGGCAAGTATTTGCCAATGGCAAGCTGGGGACCATAGGTGAATATTTATCAACCCAAATAACCTTCGTTCCCTCTTTATTTAATTTTTTTTTTTTAATTTTTGGCAGGGTATGAAAAAATGTTCATAGTCTGACAATGTTTACCTTTGTTTTATTTGTAAATCTGATAACATTATGTCCTCTTGATGTAACTTCTGCTAAACCAAAGGGGAGGTAGGGTGAACAGTATCTCTGTTTTCCCATAACGCTAAGTTTTAGCACTGGGAAGGCTGGACAGACTGGGAAGGTTGGTCATCCTATGGGAGAGTGAATTCCCAAATACAAGTAGCCCTATTCCAACTAAAGGAATTCAGGGGAAGAGAGGTGGTATTTGTCTATGGGGTGAAGCACAGTACCTGCCTCGCCACAGATGTGGCCCGTTGTCTTCTTCCTTTACACATTATATGTGACCCTGTGATGGAAAGGTGAAAAGGGAGAATTCTCTTCTTTTTCCACATGAGCTGTCAGGGTCAGTACCTCTTTTCCACCGGCAACTCAGTTACTAGCAGGCAGAGGTGGCTGATCAAGTGTTCAGTAAATGGCAATCTCATCTGCCCATAGACAGAGATTGGTATTTCCAAGAGGCTTTGAGAAAGTTCTCTTAGTCCAACAGGATAAGCATCATCTGAGAATCTGTTGGACTTGCAAATCATCAGGCCTCACCCACATCAGCCTGAACCAGAAACTGGGGAGGGCCCACTGAAGCGGTGGTCTGATAAGTCCTTCAGGCGATGCTCATGCAGACTCAAGTTTGAGAACCACCACTCTGGAGACTGATCACAAAAGATCAGATATGATAGGTATACCTGATACACCTGTCACAAGCAAGAAGCATAACGTTAGAGTGTGTGTAGTCCGTGTGTTCAAAGAATTTTTATTGCAATTAGAAAAACAGCTAAACATAATTTTTTTTTCCCAACTAATTTATATCCCCATGAGGTAGCCTGTTTTTACCATTAGGTTGAACTCAGGTCCAGATTCACTCATTCCCCAAATCTCCAAAAAAGCCCAGGGGACAATCACAACCTGAATTTGGGAAAGACAATAAAACAATTACCATTTAAATCGGAAAGGATGCCTAACAAATACTGATCCTTGACACAACCGTGCACTGGGGATGGAAATTAAGTCATCCTTCAGGAGAAAAGCCTCAAAAGATTCTCAAAGAATGGGATTGGATGTCCCTTTCTTCCTCCTCTCTTTGCTCCCACTCCAGTCCTTACCACACCCACCCTTCCTTCCCCTAGAAACAGAAGTCTGATCCTAGAAAAGCACAGGTTTCCCTCCCATGCTGACCCAGTTACATCAGGCACAGCTCCGTGAGGCCTGCTGCTCTCTGTCCTCCAGGGTGGACTTCATTCAGGGTTGCCCAGCAGCCTGGCTTCCTGGCCTTTAGAAATGGTGAGGGATTCACTTAGAATCAGCGGCTACCGAGCTAGGAGCTCAGGTGCTTCAGAAATGGCAGGTGGTTGGAGCTGACTTGACAGCAATTAAATGTACAAATCTTTGATTAGGCTCCCAGGAATGGAGTCATTAGCAACCCAGAACGGACCAGCTTGCTTTCCACTGCCTCATTAGCTGCTCCACTGATGTTACTTTAAAAAGCCAAGGGGAGGGGGGGAAGAAACCTCTCCAACACAGAAGTTGGAAAGTTTAGTGACAAAGGTGGGCAGGGAGGGGAAGAAGCCAGTGTAAGCATTTCTAGCTGAACAAACAGGTCCCCTGCTTTTTCCAGTGTGGTGGCTGACATAAAAGTGGATGTTTGCTGGACTGTGAAATAGCCCCATGCCTGCCTGATTAATCTGCCCAAAAGGGTGTTGTTGTTTTAATTTCTTTTAGTCTACTTTTCAAAATCCTCAGTTGATTCATTCTCCCTAGCCAAAGCCCCAGTGTGGTGGGAGCCTTCCTCTGGTGGGTAGAGTCCAGATTGGCCAGATTTTGTGTGGAGCTGCTATATACAGGGCTCTGTCCTCCTTCCCCAGTGGCAGGTCTGATGTCCACAGCCACCCTTTGGGGGCCACAGATCTCGGTGTCAAATTCTCCCCTGCATGGTCCTGGACCCTCTGTGATCCCAGTTGAAATCCACCTTGTGGATATCTTGCACATCACTAAGAGATCTAGAGTCTGGCTAAAACCAACCATGCAGGTTAAGTAATCTTCCCAACTGAGAGCTTTAAAACAAAAGGGAAAGGTTCTTACAACCATAATGTAAAATCCTGTGTGACTATTTGATAGCCTTGTGTGTGACTTGTATTCATTGTATAATTTATTATTCTTATTGTTCTCAATCTGCCAGTCACTGGATTCATAGTCATAAAGAATGCTCCATGAACATTTACTGATCACCTGTTATAAACCTTCTATTAATTGCTGTGGGAAACCTGTGGGTGAAAGGACATACTCTCTTTGACTTTGGGATCTATTAGAAAAAAACATCATATACACTTTTTGTTATTCATTCATTCATTCATTCATTCTTTCAACAAAGAATGTGTGCCCACTTGCTTTAATCATTATACTTGTTAATAAGAATACAAAGGACAATAAAATACAATAATTATATTGCTTACTGCTTGAGAAGCATTTTACATGTAAAATTCATTTAATCCTTGCAGCAACTGTATGAGGTAGCGACTACTATGATTTTCATTTTAGAGATAAGGGAACGAGAAAGCACAGAGAGGTTAAGTAGCTTGCCCAAGACTACATTGCTAGTAAATAGCAGCAATAGAATTTAAACCCCAACAGTCTGGCAGTTTCACCACTATGCTATGTTCCTTCAAGTTGCTTCCAACTTAAAAGGGAAGGTAAAAATCAAAACCAACCATCAAAATACAATGTGATAAGCACCTCAGCACACATTAGGCAGGGAAGGGAATTAAGTGCAGGTGGAAGAGAATTCACACTGGAAACAATGTTTGATCTGGGTTTTGACTTAAAAAGAAAAAATGTACAGTATTTCAAGAAGTTAACATCTAATAAGTTACTTCACTAAATGTCTTTGACACCATTATGACATAGTTGTTGAAACAAAGATATCGTGTAAATTGGGGATCTTGAAAAGGAAGAGATCACATCCAAGTGTATTAGCAAGAACAGTTCTTTTAAGGAGATGGTATTTAAGTGAAGCCTTTAAGAGCTGCTTAAAGTTCAGGATGGAGCCTTGTGAAGAGCAGACAAGTCAGGAGGAGAGGAAGGCAAGAATGAGATTGGAGGAGAAAGAAAGAGAACAAAGAAATGGTTTCCAGGGAGGTGAAGTGAGGAGATACTGTTGGAACAATGATTTGTCTAACCATGAATGAAAAAATTTTTTTTAATTTTATTTATTCATGAGACACACACACACACACACACACACACACAGAGGAACAGACATGGGCAGAGGGAGAAGCAGGCTCCACGCAGGGAGCCCGATGTGGGACTCGATCCCGGGTCCCCAGGATCACACCCTGGGCAGAAGGCGGCGCTAAACCGCTGAGCCACCCAAGCTGCCTGAATGAAAGATTTTAATTCTAGAAATCTATGAAGGCTTTAGGAGGGAGGAAGGGCGGGGAGTGAAATAAAAATGACTTAGAAAGATCAAGGAGGGGGTGATCCCTGGGTGGCTCAGCAGTTTAGTGCCTGCCTTCGGCCCAGGGCCTGATCCTGGAGACCCGGGACCGAGTCCCACATTGGGCTCCCTGCGTGGAGCCTGCTTCTCCCTCTGCCTGTGTCTCTGCCTCTCTCTCTCTCTCTCTGTCTCTGTCTCTCATGAATAAATAAACAAAATCTTTAAAAGAAAGAAAGAAAGAAAGAAAGAAAGAAAGAAAGAAAGAAAGAAAGAAAGAAAGAGAGAAAGATCAAGGAAAGAAATGGAGAAATACCATTAAATTGATAAGATAGAAAAATATATTTTCATTCTAAGAAATGTAAGAGATTGTTTTTATTCAGAATCACAACCTACTACTAAGAGTTTTTGTGAGGCTCAAATATGGTAACAAGAGCGATTCCTTTATAAACCATAATGCGCTATACAGTACCATTTCTCCTCTTACCAGTACATTTCTATGGTCTTTAATTCAATTCTCCTCCATCTAAAGTTAAACTATCTGCATGTCTCCATGGCTTATGAATAGGAGACACCAAGTCAAGAAATTTTTCATCTTGTACCTGATGAGTATGGAAGGCCTTTCCAAATATCCTCCAGATGAGTCAGAATGCACATGTTCAGAGCATCTTGGTCCCCAAGGAACTGACTGTGAGACATCCACAGTGGTCCGGGCTCTTTCTCTATCCACTCCACTGAGGAGTGGTGTGAAACCAGGGAGAGGAAATAATTATTGCTCTTGCATTGCCACCATCAACAAGAACCAAAAAAGATGGCCCGGATTCAATTAAGATAGCACCACAACCTCATTCACTATGTTCTTAATTTTTACATGCAAACAATTGACTTCCATTAGATCATAGCCCTGTTTATTTGTTTTAAAAATAATCTCTAGGGGCAACTGGGTGGCTCAGTTGGTTAAACATCAGACTCTTGGTTTTGGCTCAGGTCATGATCTCAGGGTCATGAGATTGAGCCCCCCTTGTTGGGCTCCACAGTTCCCTCCCTCTGCCCTAACCCTGCTCACACACTCTCTCTCTCTAAAATAATGATAATAATAATAATAATAATAATCTCTTTACCTCTCTTGCCATATTCTTATTTTATGGGGAGAGAAGGATAACTGGGTTCATTTTCTATCACATGTTCCAAATGCTTGCTTAAGTGACTTCATGTTCTTTCTTTGGTCTTTTCTATCTAGAGCTGGATGGCCTCCCCTCAAGCAGATCCGGGTAAATGTTCCCCCATCTCTTGCTAAAAGTTCATAAACACCATGATATCCCCCAGGTCACTGGGGAAACCTCTGATTGTTGTGGGAGATCATCCAATGATTCTGGAGTTTCCAAAAGCTGAAGCTGATGTATCACACCAGGACAAGGACAAGGAGACATTTGAAGTTAAATATATTGTTTTTCATGATTGTGAATTGGAACAAAAATGAAAATGGGATCTAATCTGTCAAATAAGATACACGGAATTGCTTCTGAGGTCACTTCTTTCCCTTGAGCTTCATCGTGATAAACAAGAAGACAGAAGAACTACTGTTAGCTTTCTGAGCCTGTTTTCAGGCATGGGGCTTGCTACTATTATCAGAACCCCCAGTGGCCTTGCATCCCTGGCCTTTCACTGTGCCTCAGTGGCAAAACTCCAACCCTGAGTAAATACCACAACCTGCCTTTCTCCTCCTCTACTCAACTCATTAAATGAGGGAGGAAAAACATTTCCCAGCAGTTCAGATGGCCGCTGCCACAGATTCATGGTCTTCCTCAACTGAGCTTCAGGAATCAGGCTCTGTCTTTCTCTTGTCCTTGCCCAACATCCCTTTAGTAGAAATTCCACTTCTTTGCAACTCTCAAGAAAGGTTTAATAATCTCCTGTACCCCTCACTTATAGCATATGGCCTCCACTTCTCCAGTCTTTTAAACAACCTAAGAGTGTTATATGCAAACTTTAAGCTTGCCCCCGCTCCCACAAAGAACTTTATCCACTCACCTTGCCTAGAGTCTCACAGAAGATGGAAAAGACGGTGGTTTTGTTTGCTTGTTTTGGATCTATGCCATTCCAGACCAACCTCTTTTCTCTTGAACTCTTGGTATCGTGTCCACCTATCTCCTTGTGGACTGTGATCCATCAAATACCTTTTTCTCTAGCCTTCACAACTTCTCTGTAAATTCTTTTCTATTAGATACAAATTTTCTTCAATCTCTCCCACTTGCAGGGAGAATAAATGAAGCTCCCCCTAACTCTGTTTTCCCTTCCTTGCTCTAGCTACTTTTCTTTCTTCTTCTCTTAAAACATATCTCAAAGAGTCAGCACTCTCTGTCTCCACTTCCTCATCTCACATTCCTTCCTCCCATTCTTGACCTCCTATTTACCAATCAGTTGGTTCCTCTCTGTCCTGCTTTGGAGGACTTCCATATGGCACTCCAGTTAGCTGATCTCTTCTTTCTTCTTCATACTCTCCACTCTTTTCATGTCCATCACACTGTCTTCTCTTGCTTCCCCACCAATTGCTCTGATCACTCCTTCTTGGCTTTATAGGCTTCTTCCTCTTCCTTTAATAGTGGTGTTTCCCTGGATTTTGTCCTTGATCCTCTTCCTTTCTTACCCTGCATTCTTTCCCTGGGCAATCTCATCCACCCTCGTAGGTTCTATAACCACCATTATGCTGGCTACGTCTGAATCTGAATTTCTAGACCTTCCCATAGGCCTCCCTGTTATGTAAATAAGTCTACTGGACCTGTCCAAGCTGGCTAACCACAGATTCTTCCCATCCAGCTCTTCCAAATGACCTTAACTTTGTGGTTCCTACACAAGCTCCTTTTCTATGCTCCCCATCTCAGTGGATGGATCACTCTTCATCCAATCTCCCAGACTAGAAGCCCTGGGAGTGTCCTCAGCTCTTTCTTCTCTTTCACCAGCTCCTGTCACATTTACCACCTAAAGTCCTCAAATATGCCTCTTCCTTTTAATCCCTACAGTGATGTCCCTGGGTTAGGCAGGCACTTATCATCTCTCACCTGAACTACTGTAACATCACTAACAGGACTTCCTGACTCTAGTCTTTTCCTCCTCAAATCAGTTCATGACATATAACCCTGAAGAATCCATCTGATTTGCAGATCTAATCATGTTATTCCATGCTGAAAACCCTTTTAAAAATCCCCATTGTCCTGTAGAATAAAAATCAATAAGATTATTTTAAATCAACACCTATATCTCTGGTCTCATTGCTCACTATGCCTTGTGTTCTACTACATCTTCAGTAACATCAAAACACTGGCAATTGCCATCATCACAGTCATCATCAGTATTATTCAGTGAGTGTTTACCATGTACTAGACACTATGCTAATCTCTGCACAAGTGTTGTATCATGTACTCCTCATAATAACCCTATGTGGTAGTTGTTGTCCCTTTTCCTCATTTATACACAAGGAAACTGAGTTGAAAAGAGGATATGTAACTTGCCAAAACTTGTGTAGCTAGTAAGTGACAGTCATAGAATTTCAACCCAGGTAATTGGATCCAGCACTCACTCTCTTAATTTTATTACACGTCTCATGGCTTGGCTTCTATTCTCCCTTCCACTTGGAATACCCTCTCCCTCCCTTCCTTGCCCTTGCCTGCCATATTCTTCTTATTGTCAAAGACTCAGCTTAGGCAATAGCAGCTCCAGGAAACCCTCCCAGAACGCTGAGGTGAGGCTGGTGCCTGAGGTGTCTGAGGTGTCAGGGTATGTGCTCCCTCCCACCCCCCCCCCATGCATTCAGCAGTCCCTGCACTTTCATGTTTTCCTGTAAGTATCTCTTAATGATGTGTGTCCCCCATCAAACTGTGTCTTATTCATCTTTGCATCTTTGATGCCTACCACGGTGCTTGACATAGACTAGTTGCTCAGCACCTGTTGACGGTGTAAGTGGTAAAAGCCTGACCGTCAGCGATCTCTTCCTCACTCCAAAAAATAAATTGACATATTCAAGTGGCAGGAAGACGATGACTAATCCATTTCAGAGATCTGCGATCTGAAGGATTCTCCTCTGCAGCCAGGAGCACCGTTGCCCTGAACCATTTACGGTCTTACACCATGACTGTACCTTCCCTCACCAGCCTAAACCTCTGCCCTGCAAGTAACTGTTGGGAGACTGAGTCAAAAGCCATGTGGAGAAGTCACTTGGCCAGTGGGAGGCTCAATATACTTGCATATTCTACATAAAGTTCATAATTTTACACTATAGTAAATTCCCCAGTCTGTATGGAGGCTCTTCATGTTAATCTCCCTCTATAGCTTTACGTCTAGCCACTCACCCCTTAGGGCTCCACCTGGCAACAATTGCCCTGCCTCTGGCCTTCCAGCCTCTGTAAGCTTGCTCCTACCTGCCTGCCCGCCTTCTCCACCTTGGCAATTCTTGCCAATGCTTTAAAAGTGGCTCAGATGGCACTTTTTGTCTGCAGCCTTTTCTGTCACCCTGGCCAGAGGTGACCTTCCAATAGCTATTCCCCATATAAATCATTTGGAAAGTAATCATATGCCAAAATTAATGCTATCCTATCATGCAACATCCCTCTTCATGGCCCAAACTGATCTCTGAAACAGTTGTCTATCATTCTGGTTTTTATCAATTTGTGTCTTCTTTCCTCCAAGGAAAATTTAAGTTTTTTTAAGAGCAGAAACATGTTTTACAGGTTTCTCTGCAAGTGCTCAATAAATAGGGACTGGAGATCTTCTCTGTAAATCCTTGATTCTTCCCAACCTTTCCATGACATCTGTCTCCTTCTCATTCCAGACTCAAAAGGGGGACTTCTTTTAATGTTTCTTTTGCTCTAGATCCAGGCTGTCACCAATCCACCTGATCCTTCCCCAGTGACACCTGACTAATAGATTGACTTCTCTGTCTGCATCTCTGCAGCCCTGGCCCCGCCCATCTCCACAATCCGAGCTGCACAGAGGATCAAGCAGGAGCCTCCAAGGCCCCCCTCCCCTATCTTCTCCAGTTCTCCAAAATCACTTGGCCTATGCTGTGTAGCTACTGGTTTAGCAAATCCCCCAATCTCCTGTTCCTTGCATACTTTTAATAGCACTACAAGGGGGAGGAGCTAACAGACAACACATTTACAGCATGCCTGTGACTCAGATAATCGGAAAGCTCCCAGAACAATGCGAGATATAAATAGGAACTGGCTTTACTAAAGCCCTACTGAAATTTTTAATCTGGAGTCAAATCTCATGGAACAATTTTGTTCCATGCACCTTTGCAAGAGTGTGATGAAACCAGCTTATTTGTGGTTTAATTTTCCATTCGATATGCTGCTCTGCTTTATGAGCCAGATAACTTTGTGAAGCAATTATGACTACTGTACAGACTCAGGCAGGTGGCAGAAACCCGTGAGTTGGTTACAAAGGACTATCATGTGGGTGTGTCACCGACGTGGGGAATCAGGGGGTGTGGGACTCAGGTAGGAGGAAACAGGAAAAGTCTTGGATAAGGAGCTGGTGATGAAGACGATAGCTTTTGAAAATAATCTCTTGGAAATTTTGACTGATAGGCAATAGAAGCAGTTCATTTTCTGGCCAAAATTTCATCTTATTACGGAACAAAATCACAGGTATCACAGATCCTGTACAGGTGACAGTCTTGTACACCCATGGGATAGGAAAATAATCATTTCACGGAGTGTTCACTGGGTACCAGGTGCTGTCTGGTTTAAGAGCTTTGTAATATAATTCATTGAAACCCCTCTATGCCCCCCGAAATGGTTATGGTGATCCTCCTGATACAAATTAGGAAATGGAGTCTGAGAGGGTTTGGGTTCCTAGCCAAAGGTCACCACTAGTCACGGCGCCAGGATCCAGACTCTGGCGGCCTGATGCCAACTGGCACTGTTCTTCTGTCTGGTATCTGACTACTCACAGAGGTTCCACATACTGTTTTAAGAGTTTTGTATGTACTAACTGGTAAGCCTCACAACAACCCAGTGGAACCTAAACTATTTTGTCCCCAATATACAGAGGAGGAGACTGAGGCCCAGGCAAATTATGTGACTTGCCTGAGGCCAAATAACTGCAGACGGCTTGGATGGAAGGGCCCTCTGGTCCCAAGCCACATTCTTGAGCATTACTGTGTCATAGGCTCCCACTCACCAGTGGCAAGGGAAAGGCCTCCGTGTAGGGCAGCTGGAAGGTGATGGTTGAAGGCCTAGTACAGAGCCTGGCACAGGGACATGTCTGACCCTGTACACATGCTCCCAAGCTTCGCTGAAGACTTCCATATCAAGTTGGCCTTCTCCCCCTCTTCTTCGGTGTAAGGCATCCCGGTGTCCTTCTCCTGCTGCAGTCCTGGGGCAGAGGGTGTGATCCTGGAGACCCAGGATCGAGGCCCACGTCGGGCTCCCTCCATGGAGCCTGCTTCTCCCTTTGCCTGTGTCTCTGCCTCTCTCTCTCTCATGAGTAAATGAATAAATAAATCTTAAAAAAAAAAAAAGAAAAGAAAAAAGAAGAGATTAGCATAATACTTCGATCAAACAAAACATGGGGAATATGGTGTTTTCAGATTATCCCATGCAACATAAATTTAGTTGGGGGAAGAATCAAGGAAATCAAGCTCAGGACATGAGCAGGGCCTCTGGGTTCCTGCCCCATTCTGCCAGTAACCACCAGCTCTGTGGCCTGGGATGAAAAATGAACATCTCTGCAGTCAGCACCCAACTCTGCAAAATAGGGTGGTGGCAACTCTGCCCTCCCCAGGAGGTGGCTGCAAGAATGACATCCATTATGATCTGTGAAGCACATGGGCCACACGGTGAGCTCCCACTAAGGATGAGTGACTGTCATTACCCATTACCTGTGAATGAACAGAACAGGAGCCTGTGCTCAGGCAGTGGAGTCAGGGTAGGTGGGTAGGGGTAGTAAGAAAGAAATTACAGAAAGACTCTGGCAGGCATACAAGATTTGCTGGTGTGCTGGTACCTCTCCCATGCTTTTAATTATTGCTGGGCTGTTCACCTGCAGGAACAGCCTATGATTAGAGGGGTTCGTTGTACTATCCTTTACCTTTTGTGGATGTTTGTTTCATAACAAAATCTCATTGAAATACTAGGATTTTGTCACAGGTTATTTTTGTTTGAAATGTATTATCCTTTTTCTGGAGAACTTTTTTTAAAAAAATTCATGTATTAACATTAACAAACTAGAAATAGAAGCAGGGAAATAGGATAAGAAGAAAGTAGAAACAGTTAACACTGCCTTATGAAAACTCTTTAGAGCAAGACCAGCCTGAGTCCAAATCCCAGCTAGACGCCCATGGGTTTGGTGTCTTTGGGCAACTGACTAACTCTTCTGTTACTTGTTTCTTCTCTTTAGTAAGTGAGATGCATTGTCTAAGGTTTAAATGCAAAGACACACATCATCCCCCACCTAGCCATATGGTAGGCCCTCAAGGAACATTAGCCCTTTCCTTCTGGTGATAGTAAAGTATGTAAGTGGAGATAAGTAGACTGGGGGTGAGGGTGGGTGCAGGACAAAACTCTAAGGCTGAAAATAAGAGCTTTATGGATTTGGTGAGAAATTGGTCCTGTCCTCCACACTGCAAAGGGCTCAAAGCAAAACTGTGGTGCAGGTGTCACTAGAAGCTGAGCTGCTTTTCCTCCTTGGCCAGTGGCCTCAGGCCCTCCCTAACACACAGAACCCAGACTGAATAAGATTCATTCATTCACACAGACAGACAAATGTCAGGACTTAAATATGATGACTTCTAATAAAATTTGCACTTTAGGGCAGCCCCGGTGGCACAGCGGTTTAGCACCGCCTGCAGCCCAGGGCCTGATCCTGGAGACCTGGGATCGAGTCCCACTTCGGGCTCCCTGCGTGGAGCCTGCTTCTCCCTCTGCCTCTCTCTTGCTCGCTCTGTATCTCTCATGAGTAAATAAATAAAATCTTTAAAAAAATATTTGCACTTTAACTACTGAAAAGCCTTAAATCAAAAGAATAAAACACCAGTGGTCAAATTTCAGGAGACAATACGGAGGAGAGATTTTGGTTTTGTTTTTTATTTTTTTTTTTTTTAGGGAGGTGGTGGAAGAAACAAAAGGGCTTTCTAGTATCCCTGACATCACAACACATAAATGTCAGTCTCCCTCTTTTTCCAGAAAAGTCTGTGGGGTGAGCGAAAGGGAAAGGGTAAGTTCTCTTTCAGGAGCCAACTCTGGTGGACACTGGGAGATCCTGAGTTGTCACAGCCCAGCAGGAGATGGAACAGGAGCCATATCTACAGGCACGGGATGCTGTGTACTGGACAGTGGCACAGAGACCTGAATTCTGAGGGTGGATGAAGGGAAGAGGCCTAAATGTGGCAATAACAAAGGAGCTCTAATGTATATTAAGGAGGAAGGTATTATCATATCTATCACACACACAGTAAACAAGGCTCGGTAGAGGCCAAGTGACATGCCCAACACCACGTGGCTAGCCAGAGGCAGAGCGGGGTTCAAACCTAAGTCTACCTGGTACCAGAGCACCATAGTAGGTTGAATATCTGGAAGCTAAGGGGACAACCGAGACCCTCCCTCCATCTCCATGACAACCAAGTCGACCCCAGAGAACACAAAAAGTGGTGAGTGTGTCCTGTTTGTCCACCTGCCCTTGTGAGCACAGGCCACCCACAGAGAAGCCCTTGTTCTGA